CCCCCCTTCTCTTTCGGCCATACCCGCTTACTTTTTTTCTGTTCGTTTCATTGTTTCTCCCCTGGATCACTATATCGCTGCTTTTACTCGTCTGCTTGAGAACAAAAAAAACCCTCCCATTGAGACGGTTCGGTTATCAGGGCCATTCATAACGGTCCCACGACTTTGAATAGTAGAAATATCTAGATCAGTCTGATGCACATTACAAGGTACACCGTGTACGTTTGAATACAATAGTACCTTTCTTTCTTCTTCTCTTCTTTCTTTCTTTCTATATGCACCAGTGTATACGATGCATTCGTCCATTATATGTAGTCAGGTCATGACTAGTCCGTACATAGAGTCGGAGTACCAAGGCTGTATTTTTCTACAGTCAAATTTATCCCAAGAGATCATCACTCGGCTAACATCACATCACGTCAAGCCAGTCATGTAAATATATATGTATATATATATATATATATATATCATATAATACAATACTATAAAAGGGTTAAAAAAAAGTTTAAAAAACGGGAGGGAGAATAAAAACACAACTCCTACAAAACGACAAAACCAAAGGAAAAAAACATTTTACCCCTCCCGTCATGGAAATAAAAAAGGAGGTAGAACAGAAGAAAGATGAGCTTGGAGGGGGGGGGGAATAAGAGAGAAGAGAAGAAAGAAGAAAAAAGATATATTCTCCCAGCGTTCCACACCTTCTCATACTTGTTTTTTTTCTTTCTCTTATGTGAAATGCTGTTTTTGTTTTCTTTCCCATATATATACATCTCCTCTTGCCTTTCATCTTGATGAAAGGAGGGAGATGTGAGGAGACAGAAAGAAGAGAAGAGACATCTTTGCAAGGGGGAGAGATAGAGAGAGAAAGAGGGAGAGGGAGAGGGAGAGAAAGACCCAACACAAAATTAACAGAGGAGAGAACAACGACAAAATATAGAAGAAAAAAACGGTTTACAAGGAAAGAAGTAAAATGTAGGTGCATGAGTATAAGTGAGTCCGTAATAATTGAAGAAGAAGAAGAATAAAATGATAACCTTGCTGGGGAAATTGACTTTATGACGTTCCCATTTTGACTCCATCTATAAAGAAGAAAGAAAAAGAGAGAGAAGAACCCCATATCGTGAAAATAAAGAAAAAGAAAAAAAAAGGTATGGGATTATAAAGAAATGTCGTAATGCGCAGTTGTTGCAGACACCAAGGGATGATGTTCTCGTCAATAGGGGGAGGAGGAAGGGAACTGAATGGAGTAGAAGGGGGGGGAAGAAGAGGGGGGGGGGGGGGGGGGGGGGGGGGGGGAAAGTCGACAAGGTCAAGAAAGCAATAGTCAGGGTAAGGTTAGAAAAAGTTGACCATGGCTTTGCTGAGATCAATGAAATCGACAGGCTTAGTGACATAGTTGCTGAACCCGGCAGCCACACACTTGTCGTGTACGTCCGACATGACGTTTGCCGAGAGGGCAATGATGGGCATCGTCTTTGTGTGCTGCGTCCTCTCCCACTGCCGTATCTCTCTGCAGGCCTGATATCCGTCTTTTCTCGGCATATGTAGATCGCACTATAAACAGTTCAGGTTAGAAGGGGAGGTGTAGAGAAGAGGGAAGAAACGAAGGTGAGGAAGGGGAAAAGGAAACAGAGAGAGAGGGGGGGATGGGGGGTGGTATAGAGAAGTTGAGAGAAAGACAGAAGAAGACAGAGGTAGAAGGAGAAGAGGGGGAGGAGGGGGAGGAGGGGGAGGAGGAGGAGGAAGAGAGAGAGAGAGAGAGAGAGAGAGAGAGAGAGAGAGAGAGCCTACCAATATCAACGAGTAATAATCATGCGATTTAGACATGACCATGTCGGTGCACTCTGACCCGTCGACTGCCACATCAACCTCGACGCCAATCTTCTTGAGATACTTCATCAGCACCTTTTGGTTGACAGGGTTGTCCTCCACCAGGAGCACCTTGTAGCCCTTGTTGCCCATCCGCTTCTCAATCTCGAGGTAGCTGGCCTTCTGCGTCTCCACCACCCGCTGCGCCGTCGATCGGTTCCGGTCGATGCTCAGATCTCGTACGTTGTTGGGGTCGAAGATGACGGCGAACCGAGACGGCTTCACCGGCTTGTAGATGAACGTCACCTGGTTCTCTACCAGGAGCTTCTCGTGCGGCGATCCCACCGCCAGCTTCATCACCGCCTGCCGCTGCACCGAGTCCGACAGGATCAGTATCGTCGTATTGTCCACCTTTTGCGACTTGACGATATGGTCCAGCAGGTCCATGACGGCTTCTGCCGATCCCAGGTTGATGACGATGTGCGTGAACTTGATCGGGTCCTCGCCCCCGATGAACTTGCTCGCCTCCTCGATGCTCTCCAGCGCCGTGATCTGGTGAGGCATGTCGCTCGGCAGCGTCATCTCAATGTGCTGCGTCGTCGCCTCCCGGCTGTACTTTTGCGGGCAGATGACCAGGATCGAGTACATGGGCGGCCGCATCTCGCTCTCCTGCGGCGGCGTCGCCTGAGATGGTGTCCGCGCCCCACCCGGAGAGCTCATCCGGGACGGCATCTCCAGCCTCATCTGCGACAGGTCCTGTCCGCTGGCCTTGGCAGCCTCGCTGAACCGCGCCAGTCCGGTGTTAACGGACGTCACCGGCTTACCCAGCGCGCGCGATCGGACCGTGACTTCCCGGATCGACGGGTCTGCGCCTTCACCGGGAACGGCCAGGGCTGAGGGCGGCAGGTGATCCAGCTCCGTGCCCGTCGGCGTCCCCACCCCTGGGGTTGTCGGTGGGGGCGGCACCGCGGCGGTGGACAACGTCGGCGGCGGCGCTTGGGAGTCGCCGCCGCGGATGCTCTCGGCCGATGCCTGCCCCGGGGTCGGCAGGGCGTTGTGGGCCGACGACGGGCTGTAGGGCAGGTCGGGGTGGTCCCGGTCGGTCGGCAGGGCGAAGCGGGCGGTGAAGACAAACTTGGAGCCCTTGCCCGGCGTGGCCGTTCCCCCCATGGTCCCGCCGTGGAGCTCGACGAGCTGCTTGGAGATGACGAGCCCGAGGCCGCTGCCGCCGTGCTGCCTCGTGCTGCTCCCGTCAATCTGGCTGAAGGGCTTGAAGATGAGCTCGGCCTCCTGCTGGGTGAAGCCTTGGCCCGTGTCGATGATGGCGTACTCCAGCATGATGTGGTCGGGGTCGGGGTCCGGGCGGTGGTGTGAGTGCTTCTCGGGCGGCCCATGCTCGGCGTACACTCTGCAGTGGCTGAACACCTCTCCCCTCGAGGTGAACTTGATGGCGTTTCCGATGACGTTGAGCAGCACCTGGCGGATGCGCACCTTGTCGCCCTTGACCCAGGCCGGCACGTCGGCCTCGACCAGGTAGTTCAGCTCCAGCCCCTTGGCAATGGCCATGGTGGACACGAGCTCGTTGACGTCCTCGATTAGCGACCGCGTGTGGAACCACTCAAACTTGAGCTTCATCATGCCCGCGTCCACCTTTGAGAGGTCGAGGATGTCGTTGATGATCATGATGAGGCTGTTGGCGCTCGTCTGGATCGTGTTGGTGTAGTCGCGCTGCTCCTCGTTGAGCACCGTGTCCTGCAGGAAGGTGACCATGCCCGAGATGCCGATGAGCGGCGTGCGGATCTCGTGCGACATGTTGCTCAGGAATCGGCCCTTGGCCTCCATGGCCTCCTTGAGCTTCGTCTCGAGTATCTTGTGGTCGTTGATGTCCGTCGCCGAGCCAAAGTACGAGCTGGCTCCGCTGCCAAAGTCGATGGTATCGATCTCGACGCACCGGATGAGGTGCCACCTGTACTCGCCAGTCTTGGACTTGAGCCGCACCTCGGTCGTGTACGAGAGCCGTCCGTTGCTGTCGGTCCCGACCTTGACGATGCCCTTCTTCGCGAGCTCGGTCAGGTCGGCCGAGGGGACTTCGTAGATGGGCGAGCTACCCGAACTGTCGCTTCGCGACATGGCCTTGTACACGCCGCGCAGGTTCACGTCGGTTGGAGACCTGGAGGTTCGGCTCGGCGTTGCGGACGCAGCGGCTCCACGACCACCCTTGGCCTGCTGCTGCTGCGGCTGCTGCTGCTGCTGCTGCTGCTGCTGCTGCTTGTCTAGCCGCGTCGGGGGCTGGTCGACGGGGATGCGGCACTTGGCGAGGTCCTCGGGGTGGACGTAGTCGAGGAAGCCGAGGCCGAGGAGGTCGTCAAAGTTCTGGCCCGTGTAGGAGATCCACTGCTCATTAGCAAAGGTGATGCCATCCTCCTCAGTTGCGGTGAAGATGATCTGCGGTATCAAGTTGGCCAGCAGTCGGTGCTTGGCCTCGGAAGCCTCGATCTCCTCTTGCCGGGCAGCCTTGAGCTCCGCAATGTGCTGGTCGTGGATGTCCATGTAGGAGCCGAGGAACTGCATGATGACACCCCGCTTGTCCTTGGAGGCGACAGCCCTGGCGTAGAACCACCGGTACTGTTGGTCGAAGCGTCTTATCCGCACCGTCCTCGAGAACTGCTCGCCCGTGCGCAGCGAGTGAGCCCAGGCCTTGAGGTACTCTTCGCAGTCGTCGGGGTGGATGCTGCTCCACGGATCCCGCGCCAGATCCGTGACCGTCTGTCCCCGGTAGGATAGGTACCGGCTGTTGACCCAGACGACCTCACCCGTCTGCGGGAGGGCCACGAAGACGTGCGCCGGCAGGGCGTCGAGCATCAACCCCTTGAGCCTGTCGGACGGCGGGGGCATGTCCGCCGCCGACGACGCGTACGAGACGGTCCTCGCCTGTTGGTTGGCCGCCGCCGCCGCCGCCGCCAGAGGTGGGCGGCTGGCCAGGCTCGAGCTCTGGGGCAGAGACTGGAAGGTAGAGGCAAAGTCGGCACCGTAGCTGTGCAGCATGGTATGGCCGTGGGATAAGGAGCGCTCGTGCCTGGAGAGCTCGGGGACCTTGTCCTTGGCCGCCTCCAGCGTCTTCTCGATGCCGTGAGCGGGCGCGCCCGGCTGCGCACCCCTGGACGGAGGCTTGCTGGGGGCCGCGGGGGGCGCCATGGCGCCCGTCTCTCCCGACGACTGCGCGCCGACGGTCTGCTTCTCGGACGGCTCGGACAGGTTCGATACGTCGACCAGCGACTTGGTGGCCGACAGGCGGTGATAGCGCTTGTCCACGGGAGAGCTGTCTTTTGAGCCATCTCTCCTGCTGCCCGGAGCTCCAAAGGTGTCGTGCCTGGTCAGTGCAGCTCGCTGCTTGCTGCCGAAGTAGCCTTCGCCGGCGTGCGCGGCCGCGGCCGGGCTGGCAGGTGGCGGCGGTCTCTTGTCGGCGATCCCGCCCAGCGACGACGGCTGGTCCCAGCTGGGGGTGCCGGCCGGGGAGCCTGTCATGCTCTTGGAGACGCCCGAATATTCGCTGGGGCTCGTCAAGCTGCCGGCGTGAGAGTGCTGTGCCAGTGCGGCGTCGCCCGGGAGCGGATACGGGACGCTGCTCATGGGCCGTCCATCGAGCGCCACAGCACCGAAGCCGGTGGTCGAGGGGCGTCGTCGTCGGAGGCCGGCAATCTCCGTCTCGAGGTTGTCGTAGTGGCGGCACAGGGAGAAGGAGGTGGCCATGTGCGGGGCCAGGTGCTCGAGGGAGTGGCGGAGGTTGGGCGGGTAGGGTATGACGGGAGTCAGGATGGAGAGGATAGCGATGGGGGCCGCCTTCGGTCGAGCGGGGGCCCCGGTCGGGGTGCCGGCGTCGTCCCTGTCCCGGGGCTGGGACTTCTTGCCCGGGATCCTGCTGCTGTCCAGCTTGAAGGGGTGAGTGGGCTTGGACAGCAGAATGTGGGTGAGGGGCACGTGCAGGACCGTCCAGGAGTTGTCGATGCCGATGGCTTCGGGAGGAGGCATGCCGGTATAGTTGGCCGGGCCGACGCCTGGGTTGAACGACTCCTCGTCAACGGTGGCGTTGACGAAGAAGGGGTTCTCCTTGGTATCCGTACGGACGGCCGGGGAGGGGGCGGGCGACTGAGACCACGGGGACGGAGGCGCCTGCTCATACTCTTCATACTTGGGCGTCGGCGGACTGGGGACCTCCTCTTCCACACGGACACCTTTGCCCTTGTCCACGGAGCTCGCCTTACCACGAGCCGACGCGCGGAAGCTGGCCGAGCCCCCAAAGAGCGACGAGCGCTTGGGGACAGAGTTGGACCGCACCCTGGATCCCTTCTTGAAGGAGTCGGCACCCGATGACGCCGTCCTCGCTGCCGGCGCCGCCTGCCTCTGATTGTCGGCGGGCACGGCTGCGTTGTCGAGGTAGGGGTACGATCTCGTCAGTGTGACCGTCTTGCCGCGCTCCAACACCCTGATGACGCCAGAATGGTCTATCAAGGGGTCGTCTTCGTAGTCGAGGGCCTGGAGAACCGGCAAAACGTTTCCCTGATTCTGGCGTTCGGTGCCGTAAGGGGACTCCCAAGCAGGGATGGCCGGCTCGCCATCCAATAGATCGTGCTTCTCGAGGGCATGCCTGCTGAGCTTCTGCTGCTCCCGTTCTGCGGATGATGGGGCGGCATGGTCCATGCGCCAGTAGTTGCTGCTCCTCCGCATGCTGAGTGGCCATTGGGAAGAGGGGGCAGCGGTCGGATCCTGTGGTCGTGGGCGGTCCTTGCAGTCCAGGTTGTCCTCGTAAGACGTGAAGGAATGCCGAGAATGCAGGCCAGGTCGCGGGAAACTGTCGTTCCGGTCTGGGGCGCTGGCCGAGGGGTCGGGCTCGTCTACGCGGCGGGCGGTGGCGGTGCTGTTCTTCCTGGCCGAGTAAGCGGCGGCGGCGGCGGCGGCCAGGTCGTCCCGGTGCTGGTTTTCATCATAGGTGGCCTTTTGGCCCCAGGGGACGTTCTCGATGTCGGTGGTGTCGGCGGGAACGGAGAGGGTCACCCTCTCGGCCTTGTAGATGTCCCGCATGATCTGAACGACAGTGTTCCACCAGGCATCGAGGCCCGGCTCGGCAGAGAGCATGAGAGAGAGTTCGTACAGATTTGGTTCGGGAGCACCAAAATTGGCCGGGTTGTCAGAGACGCCTGAGGGGTTGAAGGTGAAGGAGGCCGGGGTGGAGTCGTTGGAGAGGACGCGGTCCTGGACGCCCTGCATGGGCTCAAAGGGTGGCAGATGGAGTGGCGGAGCTCCCGGCGTGGAGGCTGGAGGAGAGAAGGTCTTGTACAGGTAGGATCCCGGGATCATCCTGGGGAACGGGTATGAGGGCGTGCTGGCGGTGGGATCGGGGATGACGCCACCTCTGATGGTGTTGCCGGATTCATTTGAGGCGGTTGTGAGGGACGTGTTGAGAGGGGGCGGGATATTTGATTCCTCTTCCAGGATGGGAGAGACGCGCTTCTCGGACGGGTTGGGGGCGATGCCCCTGGCCGACAGCTCGCGGCGCTCGAGGTCACGCGCCAGCCTCTCTCGGTAGTCGTTGAGCTTCTGCGACGATGCAGTATCCGGAATTGGTGACGACGACGGCTTTCTGGCGGTATCCGCCGTCGACGGTGATGGCACGGCACCAGAGGCATTTGCGGTGGCACCTGTCCCCGAGGCTGACGAACCCCGACTGTGGCTCGTAGCCTCCGCCATGTGCGGCGGCGGCGCAGCGACGTGCTGCGCTGCAGTCGAGAAGGGAGGTAAGAGCGAGGGGGTCGGTTCGTCGTCACCAATAGTTACGGACGGGCCAACATCCCCGGCAGCTTCTGAAAGAGATGTGTTGAGGGGAGAAGGCGGCACATGTCCCGCGGGGGTCACAGTGGTGGTCGCCGTTGCCGCTGCGGCCGTGGTCTCGACCTGGACGGACGGTGACCGTAGATGGACAGGAGAGTAATCGAAGGGCCTCGCGGTCGACGATGAGGAAGCAGGTGAGGAGGAGGGTCTTTGGTTTGCGGATTCGGATCCGACACTGGGGTTGTCGATCATGCCGCCACGTCTCTCCGGGAGGGGTCCAAGACGGAGAAGCGTCGACGACAGGATGCAGCGATCTTGCAGCCAAGGTGCCACATGCCCGCCCAGGGAAAGAGGGACTACTCGCAGAGATGTCGCATCAAACAGGGACGAGGATGAGAAGTCGTCTACAGAGTTGAACGGCCGGTCGGGTACGCGACGAGGTACCAGTACATAGATATCGGGGTGGAAAAGAGAAGGAAGGGAGTGGGCGGCAAAAATGAAGGGCGGTTTCCAGTTTGAGGGAGGGGGTCGTCGATGTCGTCGTCGTCGTCGTCGTCAGTCGGGGGGGGACCGTTTGAGAAATAGGGAGGATCCGTTGATATTATCACACACAGAGAAAGAGGCTTTTGCACGCAACAGCAACTCTCTTTCTTCTCTTAGCCTACACACACGCGCACACAGATGAGCTTCAGGAAAAACGGGAGTGGCGACAGACAAACGACGCAAGCAAAAAAAAAAAAAAAGTAGGCCGTGGTCTGGTCAGGTATGGGCAAGAAGCGGAGAACGGGGGTTAAACTGTGAGGTTGGGTTGGGTTTGATGTGTGGGAGAGGTTTTGGTGGTCTTGGAACCGGGGGGTGGGCACGGCAGCATCAGGGCCGGCGTTAGCTGGAGGCACCAGTCAAAAATGGGGGGGGGTCGAGCCTACTTTGGAGGAGAAGCGACCGGCTAGTTGTTACTTGGATGGCGGTCTACGATGACGTAGGGGGATCGGCTTGGTCTGTATTTTACTCGTCGAAAAAAGCAAAGAAAAAAAAGAAGTAAAAAAAAAAATTAAACCGGGGGGGGGGGGGGGGGAGGAAAAACACCCCCCTCATAGCTAACAGTTACGCTTCACATTTTTACACTCGACATACAAAAATAACGTAACAGGTACATCACCATCTTGTACTACGTGCTCACGGGGCCACCCACTATACCAACTGCTAATAGCACCAGCAGTAATGCTAGGGGCAGGGGCAGTGATAGAACGGTCTACCGAGCATGTATCAGTGGACGTACAGCGGTGGTGCCAACTAGTCGTAGTACCCGGCTTGTGCAACGCGACAGCCCTCTCTGAACGACACACACACGAGTAGCATCACCATGTGCCTCCATCCAGACGACGTACTGAGGTAGCAGATAACTACCACTACGGCTACTACGGCTACTACTACTCCTGCTCAGTAGAGAACAAAGCTGAGGGTGCGGATGCACGGGTTGTCTGTTTACGAGCCAGTACGTACCAGTATAATTCTGGTTGGCATTCTAATGCGTCGACGTCGTAGTTCTTGGTACATAGCATCGGGCAAGTCACCCACCTCTCACCAACCGCCAAAAAAAAAAGGAAATAAGTGAAATAAAAGGCCCTCGTCTCATCGCACCCCGAGTCCTGCCCTGACTGTCTGCTGTGTGTGCATGTGTGTGTGTGAGGTGGAGGGGAAAGGTCAGGTCTCTGAAGAGGACAGATGCCAGAGGGTCCCAGGGAGGTCCAGGGTAATAGAAGCTGCATGATACCTTTGGAGTCTCAATACTCGACGACTCATAGTACTCCGTATTACATACATGCATGCGAATAATAAAAATGCGCAGATAGAATCATGTCGGATTCTCCACCAGAATTCGACCCGTTGCGTTGTTTGTTCTAGCATACGACATAGCATGTACGGAGTGTGATCACCACCACCACCACCGCGGTATACTTGTCTTACTGCTGCCCATTCACTTTGGTAGCTCTATCATAATGAATAACTGCACCCTACTCCCATCCCATACCATCGATAGTACCGATATCAATTTATAGCACTCTATTCGGCACACACCCAACCTTACTCCGTACCGGTAACACAGTAATCTGTGATGCTCCTATCAATTACTTGAAGTGCGGGAGGTAAATGACGGCGACGGACATTTGCAGCTACCAAATCAAGATCAAGCCACTCCATACATGGGGGATATAATAATTGCTCGGCAATACGGAGAGGTATCATATGAATCGTGCAACCGGCTTCCATCGTAATCACGGTGCTGCACACACACAAGAGTACGAGTACGAATAGCAGTAGTTGGATACAAGTCGTACGAGAGAGTAATGGCTCACGCGCGGCCAGTGTGGTACCAAACATACAGCGTATCCGTAGATACGCTGTAAGGGTTCTATATGGTGTGGTGCATGACCACTACATGTACGAGTCCATACATACAAACGGTAATACAGTCTACCTACCTGCAAGGTGCGTCCTAAAAGCACGCTGTATTGCTACTGTCAGCATGTACGACCAGCTCGAATGCAGTGTCCCACGGATGGTGGCGCCGTAGACCGTAGTACGGAGTGACTGCTAACGTGCGTCGCACGTACCCGCTGATGACCAGAAAAATGCCCAATGATGCACGAACCCGGCGCGGGTGAGAAAATCGTCGTCATGCGGTGCGGGCTACGCCCACCCCCCCCCTTCCCCCCTTTTCCTTCTACGGACTGTACGGAGTAAATTACGGATGCCGAGCGACATAATCGATGGCTCGTACGAACCAGCGTATCGTCTTCAGAAATGGATACAATCTCTACTCGTAAAGGAATACCATCATCATCCTGTATCTTTCTCCCCTGCTGCGGATATTGTCACAGATATTGAACCATATCCGCGTGTGAGATTAAAACGAGGAAACAACCGCAGAGAACAAGCGTGAGGGAATCTACAGGTTTGACGGTCTCACGAGAAATGCCAAAAATACTTAATCTGACATATTACATCATACCTTCATACCTTGGCTGATCCCCTGGGAACAAGGTAAATCATGACGTCGAACGACGGCTAGGACTGTGCCGTTCTCCTTTTCACCACGTTACCTTTCACCACGTTACCTTTTTACCACGTTACCACCGTATAGGTTTTCTTTTTTTTTCTTCCCCTCCCCCCCCCCCCCCCCCTTCCTTCTGTCCGCTCTCGAACCCACTCCCCAACAATACTACTAGTTCTTGACTCCGCATTTACCCGCATTGCTTTAGAATGTACGAGTAGTAGTAATATATCATCACCATCATCCCAAGGTACAAAAGTAGAAATGCTACCACGGTGTTAACTCAATCCCAACCTGCATATAATATGACATCCCCCCCCCTCCTTCAGGTATTACGCACCGTCAATCGAAGGGAAAGTGGGAGAGAAGATCTCCACCTGACCGGCCACGGTAATCCCAGCTTTACGAGTTGCCCTACCGTACGGTGACGGTGGTTCCATGGATGATGACACCTATAAATTAACGAGTGGAATCGTACGAGTTATGTAGTTCTAGAATACCATCACTGCTGCTAATACCAGATAATAATAGTGTTAATATCATCCCTACCTGAATACATACATATTACAATACATGTACATCTGTATGTTCCCAATGGACTGGGACGCCTAGGCAACAGGGTTCACCCGGTCAATAGTAGAGTCGAATCCCCCCTCTTCCCCCTCTTCCCCCTCTTCCCCACCTTCCCCCTAGCTTTCTTTCCCTTTCACTTCTTCTTCTCCTCTCAAACAGTATTTGCTGGCTGCTGTTGCATCTCAGACAGTATAGCGGCTCGATCAGCCTTTGCGGATGTCCTTGACTCACGATGCCTAGAGAGGGAAAGATGAGGTCTACCGCTCATCGATGCAGAGGCACTGATTGATCCAGTAATTGTACGTGGGCGGCCCCCACTTGCTCTATAGAATGCCGCAGGAGGAGAAGTAAGACGGACAAGAGGAGACCTAGATGGAGAGGTGAGAAGAGCAGAGAAGAAAAAAAAGAAAGTAATCAATCGAATTGTTATAGGAAAAGCCCAACGCGGGGGTCGAACCCGCAACCTTGAGATGTGTGGATTCTTTCTTGATTCAGCCGAGAAGCGTGAATAAGAGTCTCACGCTCTACCGATTGAGCTAGCCGGGCAGGCTCTGCATTGTTGAAGGCTGACTGGTTTCAGTCCATTTACAAACCATTCCCCCGCAGGTTAGTCACCATTAGACGATATACCCGACACGCACTGATGAGGGTTCAGATTATTATTACTAGGTAGTATCTACCTGTACATGTACGCTAATGGCTCATCGATGACTAGAATCCTCCCTAAGAAAGACGTTGCGTCGACGAGCACTATATCAAAGAAAACGAGCATGGAGGGGGGGGGGGGTGCGTGTGGAGAGACAATTCCATCTTATCCCATTTGTAACATCATAATAAGCGTTGGTCTCAGTAAAAGAGGAGGCCCCAGGAGAAGCAGGAGGGATTTTCAGTCTCCCCCTCGAGAGAGGAGCCACACATGTCATTGTCAGGACTACCGCTCAGATGACAGTCGGCTTCTTACCGGTAAAGCCAAGCTTGTGCTTCCTGACGCGGGGGATCACGCCGACGAGGACGAGAGCGGAGAGGAGCAGGACAGCCCACAGCCTCAGCTTCAGCACGTTCTCGTTGTAGGGGGTGTCTACGGCGGCGGCGACGGTGGCCAGCAGCAGCACGAGGACCAGGTACCCAGCCCACCGGTGGTACCTGTACAGGGACCTGGCCCTGTCGATGCCGCCGTACAGCGAGGGGGCAGCCCACATGGTGAAGCCGAGGGTGTACTGGGCGGCGAGTACGGCCGACGTTGCGACGCCGAGGTACCCGTGGACGGAGTGGAAGTGGAGGCCGTTGTTGGCGAACTTGTTGTACTCAATGACGACGACGCCCGTCGTCAGCGCCACCAGGGCGGCGAGGTTGAGACCCGCGTGGATACGCTGGCCGACGCGCTTCTGGTCGACCGTGTGCGTCGGCTGCAAGACCAGGGCCGACTGCACGAGCAGCAGGATACCCACGGACTGGGCGAGGGGGTGGCCCGAGAAGAGGATCAGGTCCTTTGTCAGGACGCTGGCCCATATCAGGATGAGGAGCAGCCATATGCCAAACTGAGCTAGGACACCGGTTCCTTTTTTTTGGGRGGGGGGGGGGGAGAGAGAGGAAGGGTGTCAGCCTGGAAATGAACGGGAAAGGGTTGTTGTTATTGCCGACGTCGTCGTCGTCGTCGTCGTCGTCGTCAATTTGAGGCATACCTTGGATGAGATTGTATAGATATGATTGTCCCTCTCCCTGTGAGACATCACCCGGTCGGCCGAGGAGAGGCTCCGTCTCGTCCAGGGCTTCCGTGTCGTCGACACTGCTGACAATGGCATCCTCTGGTGGAGGCGGATGATCTGGTATGCCCGTGGCGCTGGCCATGATGGGTATGGTGTTGGTGATGCAATTGTGTGACGAGACGTCTCGGTGGCGGTCGATCAGCGAAATGAAGCCAAATGTCCCTTCCTTTCTTCGCTGAAAACGAACGAGGGGTGTATGGGACAGTTGATTACAGAGCGGTCGGAAGGAGGAGGAGGAGGAGGAGGAGGAGAACTCGGCGTCAGAGTTTCGATGGCCCTCCAGTTGACGGGAATGGTGCAATGACACCCTCCTCCCCCCGGCTGTCGCAAACGCAACTTCCAGCCTATCAGCTGCGGGCATTTTACAATCAACAAGGCAGGGAGGGCCCGGATGTGGGAACTTGGCGACAGGTGCAGCGACGCAGATATACGAAGTGTTATTACTAAGTCATCATCATCATCACTACATGTATGTGTACAGTTTCGCAATCTCTGTACTCATACTGCCAGCCATTTTGCGAAAACGATATCGGATCAGTATCTGTTACGAGTGCCCTACTATCTTGTTGCTGCCGCTCGTTGTCGATGACCGGGTATGCTAAGGAAATAGAAGCTTGAGGTCATACAAGTACATACATTTCGAACTTGACAAATGTATCACCTACCCACCCCTCCCTTTGACCATGCACCTTGGCATCAGCCATTGAGAAGCCACTTGGCAACCAAGCCACATACAGTAATGTATAGGTATACACCGACGCCTCATTCCTACAGCGTATGACGACCAGGCTTTCACGAGGCGGGGGAGAAGAGAGGGCCGTGGTTGCTATTTGTCGTCTCGTTCTTCCTTCTCTTTTCTCTGTTATCAGGTATATATATTTGTCCTTGGTATTGCCACCGTGAAAGTCACGCGATCGCCAACTTAACAACCAGCAACGTCGATGAGACATGTGTATATATACGTACACACACAGTCTCTATGACTGCTGGGGAGAAGATCCATGATTGCCATGACATCACTTCTAGATGCCTGCATGTGCGACATACTTTCCTGACAGGGTCATGATGAAGCCATGTTTGACCGTAGCATAAAGAATGAAAGAAGAAGAGAAAACTTGGAACGATGTCGAGTGGAAGGCGTCATGATCGTCCTATAATCATAGTATAAGTATATGGGCTCATCCCCCCGATGAAACGATCCATCCATCATATGAACATTCAAAGGTACTCTCACACACCAAATTCATCTTGAAAAGCAACTTCTCCTTTTTTTCCCCCGTCTCTTTGGAAACGACAAAAAAAAAACATCATGCCCTTCACCCACCGCCGTCATCATAACCGCACGGCCGGTCCAGCCGTCAACTCGACCCATCACAACTCACGAGGCGGACTCTTCCTCCGTCGTCGGGGCGGCCACGGGGGCCGTAGCGGACGCACTACCCGCGCCGGAGCGACGGCACCCGTAGAAGTCCACCACCACCACCACCATCGCCAACAGCAACGTCATCCTACCATCAAGGACAAGGTTAGCGGTGTCCTGCTCAGGATCAAGGGTAGCCTCACGCATCGTCCTGGTGTCAAGGTATTCACTCTCTCTCTCCGCCGCCCCATACGTACGCACATGCTCGGAGAACTGCTACTGACCATGATATCAAACAGGCCGCCGGTACGCGTCGTATGCACGGGACAGACGGTCGGGCTGTCCACCGTCTTCGATTCTTCTAAGTTGGACGTGGAGAGAGAGAAGAGAACGGCAGGAATAACCAGATTAGGAAAGAGAATGGCCAAGAGTACGAATGACGATGACTTCAGATTGTTATCAACTTTCATTTGCCTCAACGTCCTAGACTTGTATGGCATTTCTTATACCCATGGGCCATACTGGCAATCAGTTTAATCATACCTTGAATCCTTGCGAGAACGTCCCCCTTTTTATGTGGACTCCCTCTCAAATCAACAGTGAACCCCCCCATACGCTCTGCTATAGTCAACACCGCCATTTCCGTGAACGCACATCATCGTACGTCGAGGTTTTTCTTAGGCACCATCAGCGCAACTCGTCCGTATTGTCGGCTGTGGCATCTTTCGGTCGAATAATGTGGACCTTCCTGGATGCGAGCCCATCCTGTCGGCGCTTCTTCCCATATCCCCGCTTAGGTAGAGAAGCTATGGATGGGCTTCTATCCTTGTCAAAAAAGTCGTCCCGATAGTTGGTCCGGGCAGTGTCATCTGTAGGCATGAGCCGGTTCTGGTTCAGAGAAGCGAGCACCGGCCGGGAGCTCCTCGGAGCAGCAGCAGCAGCAGCAGCCCCGGAGAGCCCATCAACTTCACGTTTCCCGGATGACGTGGGTGATTTTCCCGGCATCTGACAGCGCTTGATAGCCTCTTCAATCCTATCCAAGTAGCTCCTGCTCGGGGGGAAAGGATTCCTGTACTCGGATTTACCGTGCAGTCCTGGTTTATTTGGATCATCGTAGATAGTGCGCGGGGTTGACCATCCATCGGGCTCTGCACTCAACATGCTAGATTCGAGATCATCTTCAAAGCCTTCTTCGGTCAGAAAGGGGTCAGCATCGGCGGGGAAATCTGTGCCTCCTCTGGTTGATGAGAGCTCATCTTGTGCTCGATGTAGGGGTTGTGTGTGATGAAGCCTGTCCCATGCTCCGGACACCTTGCCCGCCACGCGAGATATCCCGGAGGTAGCCATCGGCTTTGGTGTCGGAGTTGAGTCCAGCGTCAGCGCCCGCCTTTCGGCTGACGTGGCCCTGTCGTGTCTCTGCATCTGGATAAATTCCGTTGGCGACTCGATAGCCCCTCCGTCACGATTCCTGTCCCTGCTGGTGAACCGGCTTCGAGTCGTGATCCCCGATAGGTGCGTGCTGAAAGATGGCCGACGGTGACTGCTCGAGGACCTCATTCCAGACGGCTGGAATATGGTGGCCAGGGCCTCACAGTCTTGAGGAGGTCCCGTGGATATGGCTTGGGGGGGTCTTCTCCTTTTGGCGAACGAGGGCTGTGAGCCGAATGCCCTTCGCAGCATGGGCACGGAACGGTCGGCTGCACGATTGCCGTTGGCGTCTGGGCTATACAGACTGTGGACGTTTTCCATTGCACCTCGAAACTTCCTTCTTCTGACACTCAAGGCATTCGATATCACCAGATCGGTCGAAGCAAGGAGGAGGCACAAGCACACCACTCAGGAGGGTAACGAGGTTTTTGCAACCTTGGCAAGCGCTCCCCATCTAGGACCGAGGGATTTGACGGGGCGGAAGAGATGCGGTGCAAGATGAAGACATTGTGGTAGAATGGAATGGGAGACGATGAAGGTCGAGTCAGGGTACGAGTTGCCTATGGGCGTCATCGAGGAAGGAGCAAGCCGGCAGCAGGCAAGAGCTCCCATCTTGGGATCTCGGGTGTCTTGCCTCGTTCATTCTGTACCAGTTCGACATCTCCGGCTCCGAAGGTCATCAACAAAGGCTACAGATGTAGTGATTATGACCGTGAGGCATCATGGTCGATATGCTAATGGTAGGATTCATGATGATGAATGGTCCAAGGCGAACAGAATGCCGGAAATGGCACGATATGGAAGATTATGATTGGCTAACCCCCATCAGCAGAGCCCCAGAGTAGTATTGAGCCCGAGAGCCGGCCGCAGCGCTGGCCTGGCATGCAACAGCCTCTCTCTCTCTCTCTCTTAAAAAAAAAAGACCTCCTTGGGAGCGACTTTCCGACAATCACCACACTTCCATCGATCCTCTCCCCAGTCAACTAGAACATCTCACGACCGGGAGAGTACCATCTTCGAAACGAACGACGCTACTCTACGTGCATAACACCGAGCTTGCATCCGTCGCAATCTCGACACGACCCGTTAACTCCATCTCTGCCCGCTTCCCCCGTACGTCCCGACAGGCTGTCGTCATCTACGGTTTTCTTGGTGGTACAAAGCATCACGCAACCAAGATCGAATCCGTGCACCATTTTTTTTTTAAAAAAAAAAAAAAAGAACAACATCATCATCAACAACAACAACACACCGGATACGAAGAAGGGACTGGGACTGTTCCCCCTCCCACAGAGAAGAACCATGTTCAGGGCGGCGCCCAGGCGCGCAGTGTGGGAGGATGTCCTGAGCAAGCTGTTTGCCGGACAGGCCAAGAAGCTCTCATCCTCGGCGGGTGCGTTGCACCAGGGCGCGGCGGCGCAGCGCGCAACCCTCGGCGGCGGGTCACGCTACGCCACGTCGCGACCTTTTGCTACGGCGAGACAGACAATCTTCCGCGGACGGCAGCAGCAGCAGCAGCAGGCAAAGCGCTGGTTCCGCTCATCGGCATGGAGGGCAGGCGCCCAGGCGGGCCAAGAGGGGCTCAGCATGGGCCAGAAGCTCAAGAAGCTGACCAAGGACTACGGAAAGGCGGCGGTAGTGGTGTACTTCATGCTGAGTGCGATTGACCTGTCCCTGTTTTACCTGCTTGTCAGGATGGCGGGGACGGATCGGATCGGTAAGTCTGACATGGCTAGGTCTTCCGTTGCATGGCAGGTGTTCGTGGTGTGCGATCTGCGGACGCTGACTCTGTGGTATAGGCCGGGTCGAGGAGGCTATCGTGTCGGTCATTCCGGAACCGATCCGCGTCAAGACGGGCCAGGCCTGGGCCGCCATCAAGTCCGTCCTGAAGAAGGATGACGGCGAGACGGAGAAGAAGGAGGGAGCCGGTGAGGACACGACGGTACTGGGCGTCGAGACGGCGACGGAGGGTCACAGGGAAGAAGCCAGTATGTTTCTGCACCACCACTCTCATCTCCATCTGGCCCTGCCTCGGGATGTTTTCTCCATCTCCCTCTGTCCCTCGTAGGGTACCGGCTCGGGATGAGGGAGGCATCTCTCGTTCACATGCATGCAGTCGATGAAACGGGCACTAATCGTCCAACGCAAGCAGGTCTGGCCACGCAGTTTGCCCTGGCGTACGCCCTGCACAAGAGCATCATCTTTCTGAGGATCCCGCTCACGGCGGTCGTGACGCCCAAGGTTGTCAAGACTCTCGCGTCTTGGGGGTGGAACATTGGCAAGTCTCTCAAGAAGACTTCCTGAAACGATGGACCAAACTCTGCAAAAGTCGAACGGTACCAGTGGGGCCGGAGCATCTGCTGAACAGCAGCAGTTGAACAGCGTCCCACGAATCTCTCGGTTCTACCCATCTAACACACTCCCCACTCCTGTGCAAACACACCTGAAAAAAAAAAGGCACGTGTATACATTGTAATAATATAACAGCAAAGACATACAAAAATGATAATAATAAAAAAGTTGGGAGCGTGCATCACCGGGAAAGACAGGTAGAGAGAGAGAGTGTGTGGGCATGTGCACTAGGTTAAAAGGGTTGCTTACGAGGGAGTCATTTTCTTGCAGAGGATAGAATACGGAGTATGTTTTTTTATTCTTATTTTTTTATTCTTTTAACTCTCCTCTTGGCATTTATATGGTATCAGTCGTGTAATTTGTAATTTCACCCGTAAGCAAGGAAGGTGAAGCGAAGCAGTACTTGTATAGCATCAACACGCAAGGTGCTCCTGGTTTTCTCAAAGTAGTAGATGCAGTACACATCATCTACTGCCATCAGACCAATGTAAATTACTCGCGAGACAATGCTCACAGCATGTAGACTGTAGTCATGTACGGATATGATTCATATGCTGGTGGTATCAGACGGTAAAAGTACCTCCTTGGTAGTAAAATTTGATCGTGATACCGACAGTAGCTACTACGTCATCAGTCGAGCTAGCCCACCCCCCTCGGTGTTTTGCTTGAGAGAGAATTACATGAGTAAATATATAAGATAGATACGATATACATGTACATATACATGTATGTATAATATAAAAGTCTGTATGCTAGCAGTCAGTTGCCGGATAAGACTTGCCGGGCAAGAGTTTTTGTGCCCGTTTGAGGTGCTTGGCGGTACTGCCTCCACTGCCACTACTATACCTTGCCATGATTTTAATACTGCACATGGTGTGTGGATGACTCCTACTCCTCGTGGATGATTTACGGTGATTTACGGTTACGAGTAAGAGCTTCTGGAAAGAGTGCTCACTTTTCTGCTCCTCTCTAATGCTATATATTCTAAGGGGGGGGGGGGGGGGAGAGAAAAAAAGACAGGACTGTCGTGGCAGACGTCATTGGGGGGAGGGGGGAAGAAGGAGAGGGGATGTTTGTTCCGAAATTTAGAGTTTGGCGATGCATCATCAACTGAACGGATCCCGCCCCACGGCGTCTTCTCTCGTGAGGGGGGGGGCCCTTTTGACAGCGAGCGGAATGACGGCAAGGAGGTTTTTGTCACCAAGCTCGAGAGGCAAGAGAGGACTCCAGATGCTCTAGTAG